AATGTGCAGGATGTCAGATATCAAGTGCTATGGAAAAACTAATGCAGGAATTTGAAGTAGGAGGCAGGAATTCCATTTCAAATAGAATGGTCAGGGAAGGCCTCACAGAGGAGGCAGAGTTTGAGCTGAGATCTGAAGGGGGTGAGGGGGTGCTCAGGTGAGTATTGGGGGGAGAACATTTCAGGGAGAGGGAACAGCACATGCAAAGGGCCCGAGGTGGGAGTGGGCTGGCTACTTAGAGAGAGGCAAGGAGGCCAGGCTTGCTGACTAAGAGAGAGAAAAGGGAGGTGGTATCAGAGAGAGCTACGGGGTGCGGGTCATGCAGGGCCTCATGGCCACGTGAGGACTTTAGTGTTTGTGCTAGGAAACACAGGGTGTGGTGTTTGGACCAGGAGAATGGCGTGATCCAATCAGATGGGTCTGGTCTGTGTGGAGAAAGGACAACAGGGGACAGAGGCAGGAGCAGAGAAACTAGTCAGGAGATGGTGCAGTCATCCCAGCACATAAATGATCTACAAGCACAGTTTAAGTATCTGCAAGTAGTTCACCCTACAAATTCATGATAATCCATTGAACTAATTCCTTATTGATGGGCATTTTGGTTATTTCCAACTGAGTCTTTATTACAGAAAACACTCTGAAGGACACCTTTGTGCCATAGATCTTCGTGTCAGACATGTTTGCTGTCTAGGTGTTACGGGGTCATCTTTCTAAGGCTTTCTGTCCATACTTTCAGTCGCCCTGAGAAAGAGGGTGCCCCTTCCTACGGCCACTGGCAGTGTTTGACCTACCACGCCTGCCCAGAATGTATATAATGTGTGTCCAAAGGGTGTGGTTCCATCCTTGTGGTCCTGGCCGGGCCTGGATGCACATCTTAGGGGGCACCCCTCTTGTTCAGACAGCCTTGCGTGGTCCCAAAGCTCTTTCGAGTCCATTTACTTATTTAAGACTCACGACAGTCCTGCAATCCCTGCTCTGCAGGTCAGGAAACTAAAGCTCAAAGAACAGCAGTAAAGGCCTTGTTCCAAGTGCTGTATGGATGTTACCTCATTTAATCCTTGCAACAACCCGGTGAGGTGGGTGCCATCAACATCCCCAGTTCAGAGATGAAGTCGCTGGTGCAGGGTGTCAGCAGGGGTGTAAGCCCTGGCTTGCCAACCTGCTCTGCAAGCCACTCCCAGCCCTGCCTCAAGCTAGTAGGGTGACTCGCTTGGGCTGCACAGGTGGACCTGGTGGGCTCAGAACCTCCTGGCTCTGGAGCCCACGTCCGAGCTCCTGACCAGGGGCTATTCAATGCCAGAAACCCCTCAGCAGAAAGCTGACTCTTTTTTCCCATTAAAACTGGTCTTGGTCCCTTGCGTCTGACTGGCGCTTCTTCCTTAAATCCACCCGCAGCAGCTCCTGGAGACCAGACTTTGGTAGGAGAGCTTAGATCCCATCATGGAAGACATCAGAGCTGAGAGGGCCCTTGAGCTTCTGGTCCAGTCGTCTTTTCTCTTGAAGTTGAACAGGAAGAAGGAAACTAAGGGCCACAGTGAGGCAGTCATGACTGCCCAAGGTCACACATCTAGTGGGGGTCAGAGCCTGGGGGTGGGAGGAGGCTGGCCCAAGGAGCAGGCCAGGTCCTCCCCAAGTGGCCCTCTCCAGGGAGTGTTGAAGAGCTGTGACTCACAGCCGTCTCCAAGAGCCCTTTGTTGAGGAGCCTGCTTACTTGTGAATTATTAATGAGACCAAACCTGTAACCTGCTGTGTGGCACTCACTTGAAGACAACCCTGTTTTACATTCACCAGCTCCCTGCAGTGGGCAGCCCTGGAGTCCAAGGGCTCTGGGGCTTCTGGGTGGGCACAGCCAGCGGGGGTGGGGCAGGGAGGGGGGATGAGGGCGCTTCATGCCAGGGAAAGCCCTGGGGGAAGGGACTGAGAGCAGGGAAGGGGATGAGTAGTCTCCCACATAATGCTCAGTAAGCCTCGCAGTATCCTGGAGTGGGTGAGACGTTTGTCCAGGTTTACAGATGGGATGCAGGGAGGGAGAGGCAGGGCTGACTTTACAGCTTAAGCTCTTTCTACAACAATGGCACCCTTTTCACATGTTCACACCCCCTTTTCTGGGAGCCCCATTTCCACACTTTCCCCACAGGAGAAATAGTCAAGTCCTGGGTTTATGCTAGGGCTAGGCCTGAGTCCAAGTCCCACTTGGTCCAAGCCTCCTATAGGATGGGAGACAAAGTTACTGCAGAGCTTTCTGGAGCCTTCTGAGGAGGTTTCACTAAGCAAACGTTTATTGCTGAGAGATGGTGCAGGTGAAAGCGGTCCATGTGAGGGCGTCAGGGCTATCGTAAAGTATGGCAAGCCCAGCGGTGTGTGCTTGCGGGCTGGGGGGGTGGGGGGGAATGAGGGAGGAAAGCAGGCCTCGTGGTATGTCCCAGGCACAGAGGACCAGGAAACAGGTCCCCTGGCAGGGGAGGAAGGACCTTAGGACACTCTCCTGTCCTCAGGGCTTGGCTGCCAGCCTGAGTTGGGGATGCTCAGGTGGCCTGAGCAGGGTCACCTGGGTTGGGAGGTGGAAATCATAGTGACTCACAGCCTCCTTCCTCAGGGCTGGGACTGGGCCAGAGTTCCCGGGGGCCAGGAACCACTGGGGCGGGGCCCTCCTGAGAGCTGGTGGGCCACTCTGACGCTCTGACTCACCGGTGAGCCGCTCTAGTATCACCGTCACTGTGGGGGCGTGGGGAGAGTCACAGCTCCAAGAGCTGCTCATTTGGCAGAGCCTCAGTTGTCATCTGTAAAAAGGGGGGAGCGAAAGCATCTATCGTTCCGCCACTGCCACCGTCATCAGGCCCTCCACAGCACCGTGCTGCAGGCCAGCCAGGGCTCCGCACATTTTACGTACTTGAGTCCTGACCCTCACCATGCCCCTTTGCTGTAAGCAGTGCTATTATTTCCATTTTACTGAGGAGGTTACTGAGGAGGTAACTGAGGCTCAGAGCGGTAGTTAGAGTGGGCATTCAATGAGATAATCTTTGTTATACACTTAACGCGTGTGACACATAGTAAGCCTTTGATGAATGTCACTCGTTACTGTGATCGTTACCTCAGGGGGAAACGCGCAAGTGCCGGGCCCAGTATCAGTGCTGAGGGAGTCGTCAGGCACTGACACGGGGGTGTCTCACCAGGCCCGAGTCGCCAGAAGCTCCCAGTCTGATGGCAGAGGCGGCCACAGACAAACCTCGCTCCACTACCACCACACACAGCGCAGGGTGAGTGGGGTAGGTCGGGGGGGATTAGGGCAGAATGTGCCCAGAGAGCCTCTGAGCCAGCCAGGGAGGGAGGGCCTCCTGCAAGAGGCGGCTTCTGAACTAAAAACTCCAGGGTGAGTAGGAGTTTTGGAACATGGCAGGTTCTTAATAAATGTTAACTGAATACAGTAGAGATTTACCTTGAAGTTGATATAGTCTAGAGGACCTCTCATTCACCTGGCCCCTCCCAAGGCTCTGGAGGAAACCGTTCCGTCATAAACTTCTGGACTGACCCATGGCTAAATGAATGAATAGTAAACGAAACAGGAGGAAGGTGTGTTCCAGGCAAAGGGAACAGCATGTGCAAATGCCTAACGATTTGAAAGTGCGTGGCAGGTGGCAGGGCCCCCGCCTGCCTCAGCCACATCACCCAGGCCCCTCTTTACATACTTGCTGCTCTCCTCACCAGCTTGGGAAACTCCAGCTGTCACCGGTGTGCCCTTGCCCACCACTGTGCTTTCATCCACGCCGTTCTCCCACCCGGTCCACCCTTCCCATGATGTCACTGTATATAAATAAACTTCAAGGGTCAACTCTGTGCCCACCTTCTCCAGGAAGCCACTCAGACCCCGCCAGCCTGTGTAGCAGTTTCCCTCATCTGTATTTCTATAGCCAATGGTGGCTGTCATCGCAGCCTGATCCTTGTAGTGACTTACCTTTTTGTGCCTATGTCTGAGAATCCCAGAGGGGCGTAGAGCCTTGCAAGTGAGCGTCTAGCTTCTGCTCACATCTGGGCAGGATAAGAACCCACTACCTTTACAAATAGCCTGTTGGGATTTAAACAGCACTCCCCTAAACCTGCCCCTTCTGCCACTGGGCCCTATCTGCCTGGCTCTCCCTGGACCTAGTCCAAGCCCTCCTCCCACCACAGCTGCTTCTGCAAGCTCCTCCCTTCCCTCTTCTGACATTCTAGAGCTCAGGGCTGATCCACCGGTGCTAGAGTCCCTCCTCCTTCTGTCCCCTGCCCAACAGACCGAAGGGACAGCTATAATGGCAGCCACGTGGTCTGATGAGTCATGGTTAAGAGCATCTGGGGCCTAGGGGTGATGGCTGGTTAACTCCTCATGGGCCAGCGGTTCTTTCTGCCCAGAGACCAGGTGGGCTTTAACCCTGGCCCTAGACATAAACCTCAGGACTGGGCAGTCAGTGGGCATCCGAGGAGTGTTACAGATGACCCCCACATAGGCACTGGGGATTCAGGGGACGAGGCAAGGGGGCAAGAGGCAAGAATGTGAACTTTGTAGTCAGGAGGGCTGGTTCCAATCACAACTTGCCCTCTATTAGGTGAGTGGTCTTGAGATAGTCGCAGCAACGCTGTGCCTCAGTTTCCCCATCTGTAAAATGGCAGTGATGGGGATTATTTGAGAAGGTGAGTGTGACCTGTTGGCTAGCAGAGAGTGCTAAAACGCATTATTTTCCACCTCCTTGTCTCCTCAAACACAGTCACCAGTGGGCTAGTGGATGGGATTAAAATCCAAGCCTGACTCCGGAGGCCTCCCACCAGTGAACGCAATAGGAAGGTGAAGGACTCAGGTCCAGGCGCGGGGAGGCCGGAGCTGTGAAGGAGGGGAGAGTGACAGGTCTAGAACTTTCTGGCCTCACATAGGCGCGGCTGTGCAAGGCAGGAGTGAACTCTTGGTCCCTGGGGGCTGCGCAGAGAGAGTACCCGGACATGGGCCATGTAGGCCGTGGGCACCCGGGGCTCTCACCTGCCCGAGCTGAAGGTGCGGTGGTGGGGTGGGGGCGTACTCAGCAGGCGGCCACGGCCGTGGTCCCACTGCGCGGGTGGGCAGCCCGAGGCCAGCCCGGCCCCGCCGCCTTCCCCGCCCCCGGCGCGCCCCTCCCCGGCCGCCGCGTCCCTGGCTCCGCGGCACAGCGCCCGGCTCGGGTTCCGGCGGCTGCACCTGGGCCACAGCTGGCGTCCGGCGGGGGCACGCTGCCCGCCCCCCTCCGCGATGACCACAGCCGGCGCCCCGGGCGCCCTGCCCGCTGGGTAAGTGCGCGGCGGGAACGGGAACGGCTTGGGGGGCGCGGGCTGGTCTGGGCCCACGGACTGGGGCCGGCACCCAGCTGGCCTCCCCTGCGCCACCTGCCCCACGGCCCGCACTGCGGCTTCCAGCCCCTGCCAGGCGGCACCGTACCCCCCACCCCGTCCGCCTCTGAGCCTCTGGGTGCTGCCGCTGCGGGGAGGAGGGGGAGAGGGCTGCGGAAACTCGTGCTAGGAGACTGGAGGCGCGGGGGATCCTGGGTCCTCACTCCCCACTGGGTCCCAACTTTCTCATCCGTAGTAACAGGCCTGTACTACAGCCAAAGCTGCCTTCCTCCCCTGTGGCGTTTACACCTGTGGGTGGTCTCATTATCACCTCCATTACAGAGGAGGGAACTTGTCTTAGGTCACCCAGGAGGTGAGAGGTGGGTCTGGGGTTTGAACCCAGTTCCATCTGATGTCAGAGTCCCCACTGGCAAGGCACACTACCTCATCTTCAGGGATATTTGGGGGAGTTAAAAGGCTAAGAAATGAACCAGTTGAGCCCATTGGGTGCAGCCTGAAACAGGACAAAAAAGGTGGGTGCTGTCACTTTCAGTGTGGCTCTCCTGCCCACCACCCTACTGAGAAATCCTGTAGGACCCCTACTCTGTCCCTGGAGCAGTGACAGCAATTAACTGCTGGGACATAAGGATCAATTCTGCATTTCCTAGGCCCTGGTGGTTAGGGGGCCGCTGCTGGGAGCCTGGACTGCTGGGAGGTTGCTGGGTGGAGATCCGGCCCAGGTGAGCTGGGAGGGGTGCCGCCCTACCTGGAGCCTCACCACCAGGGACAATATTTGCCAAGGACCTCAGGGCTAACACATGAACAGGGAGGTGACAAGGCCAGTGCCAGCTGGAGTGCTCCACCGGGCCTGTGTGAGGGTGTGCCTCATGGAGGGCTTGGGAGTTGGGTGGCTGGGGGACACTCGGGACTGTGGGAGGGTTGGCTGGGGAGTCTTGACCTTTTGTTGTATGACTTTGGCCAAGTCCTTTATCCTCCCTAGACTTATTTCTCGTTCTCTTTTTCCCTCCCTTCCTCCTTCCCTCCCTCCCTCCCCCTTTCTCTCTCTTTCTTTCTTTCTTTCTTTCTTTCTTTCTTTCTTTCTTTCTTTCTTTCTTTCTTTCTTTTCTTTCTTTCTCTCTCTCTCTCTCTCTTTCTTTCTTTCTTTCTTCTTTCTTGAAATTATTGGTGTGACATTGGTTTAATAAAACTATACAGGTTTCAGGTGTACAATTTTATAATACATCATCTGTATATTGTATTGTTAAGTCTCAAGTTCACCACCCCAAGTCAAGTGTCCTTCCATCACCATTTATTCCCCCTTTACCCTCTCCTATCTCCCCCCACCCCACTTTCCCTCTGGTAACCACCATACTGTTGTCTATGAGGTTTTTGTTTGTTTGTTTGTTTGTTTGTTTGTTTTGCTTAATCCCTTCACCTTTTTCACCCAGTCCCCCAAACCCTTCCCCTCTGACAGCTGTCAGTCTGTTCTCTGTATCTATAAGTCTGTTTCTATTTGGTTTGTTAGTTTATTTTGTTTATTACATTCCACATATAAGTGAAATCATATGGTTTCACTTATATGAGTGAAATCGTATTTATCGTTCCCCAACTAGCTTATTTCATTTAGCATAATACTCTCCAGGTCTATACTACCCAAAGCAATCTATAAATTAATGTAATTACAGTGTAATTCCTATCAAGATATCGATGGTGTATTCCACAGAACTAGAACTAATATACCAAAATTTACATGGAACCACCAAAGACCTCGAATAGCAACAGCAATCTTGGAGGAATCATGCTATCTGATACCAAACTATACTACAAGGCCATAGTAATCAAAGCAGCATGGTACTGGCATAAAAACAGACATATAGATCAATGGAACAGAATAGAGAGCCCCAAAATAAACCCATGCCTTCACGGTCAATTAATACTTGACGAAGGAGGCAAGAACACACAATGTGGTAAATATAGTCTATTCAATAGCTGGCGTTAGGAAAACTGGACAGGTATCTGCAAAGAAGAAGAAGAAGAAGAAGCAGCTAGATCATTTTCTTGCACCATACACAAGAATAAAATCAAAATGGATTAAAGACTTAAATGTTAGATTTGAAACCATAAAAATCCTAGAAAAAAACAGACAGTAAAATCTCAAACATTCTTTTGTAGAATATTTTGTAATATATCTCGTCCAGCAAGAGAAACAACAAAAAAATAAACAAATGGGACGACATCAAACTAAAAGGTTTTTGCACAGCAAAGAAAACCATCAACAAAATGAAAAGACAACCCATTGAATGAGAGAACACATTTGCTGATGATATATCTGATAAGAGGTTAGTATCCAAAATTTATAAAAACTCATACAATTCAACACCAAAAAGATAAATAATCCAATTGAAAAATGGGTAAAGAACATGAACAGACACTTCCCCAAAGAGGATATACAGATGGTCAATAGACATATCAAAAGATGTTCAACATCACTAATCATCAGAGAGATGCAAATTAAAACTACAATGAGATATCACCTCACGCCAGTCAGAATGGCCATCATCAATAAATCAAAAAACAACAAATGTTAGCAAGGATGTGGAGAAAAGGGAATTCTTTTTCATTGTTGGTGGGAATGCAGATTGGTGCAGCCACTATGGAAAGCAGTATGGAGATACCTCAGAAGGTTAAAAATGCAACTGTCTTATGACCCAGCTTCTGAAAATATATCTGAAGAAATCTGAAACACTAATTCAAAAGAATATATGCACCCTTCCTGCTCATTGCTTCCTGGACTTCTTGACCCTCCTTTGGAAAATACAGGGAGGCTGGGCTGGTGGCTCCTTTCTTGCTCTGGGCTGGTCTTTGTAAATCTGGAGCCTGCTTAGGTCTCTTCTGCCCAGCCTTGACTGAGTACAACCCCACTGAGTCCAGAAAAATGGTTTCCAGATCAGAAGGCAGGTAGAACAGGGCTCTTATCAAGGAATTCTCAACTCCCAGGATAGAAGCCACATTTATCCTTCTTCCTTGCACACTCAGATCCTAGCCAGTACCCTCTCTACAGCTCCAGGCTCCTCTGGCCCCTTGCAGGCTTCCAGGTCAGTGAGCTCACTCTTCTGTCACTGTTGGGTCTTCCTCCTACTGAACCATACCTGCCCGCCTGCATGCCCTCCAGGTCCCTGTTTTCTTTGAGGCCACATAGGTCCATTTGCCTCTGCCCCTTGCCCTGGTTAGTGCCATCCTGGTGGGGTCTGAGCAGAGCAGGGGCAAAGCAAGTGCCACTTTCACTATAGACACTCATTCAGTCACTCAACAAACACTTCTGAGGCCTTTCTGGGCCTGGGCCTGTGTGTGAGGATCAGTGGAGAATAAACCAAGTTTTCAATCTGTACCACTTTAAAAATCATGAAATAGGGGAGGGATGGGAAGGTGAGCTGGGATGGGAGTAAAGGACAGAAAACTGTACTTGAACAACAATTAAAATAATTTTTTTTAAAAAGAAAAGAAAAACACAAACAAAATCATGAAATAATAACTTCAGGCCAAGATGGAGGTATAGGTAGATATGCTTCACTTCCTCACACAACCAAAAGAAGGATAACAACCAATTTAAAGACAAAAAACAATCAGAACTGCCCAAACATCAAACTGTATGGAAGTCCAACAACAAGGAGTTAAAGAAGAAACATTCATCCAGACTGGTAGGAGGGGAACAGACTGGCAGCCGGGGCAGAGAGAATGTGCTGCAAGGTGGTGGCTGGCAGGCCAGGTGGTCCCACATTCACCTATGGATAAACCAGGATGAACAACTGGAGAGTGAGACAGACTGCACAATCCATGGTTCCAGCACCAGGAAAATAAAACCTCAAAACTTCTGGCTGTAAAAACCCACTGGGGTTGCAGCTGTGGGAGAAACTGCCAGTCTCACAGGAGAGTTTGACAGGCCCATGAGGTCCTAGAATGTACACAAAACCACCCACCCAGGAATCAGCACCAGGGCAGTACCTAGAAGGGTGCAATTTGGTTGTGGGAAGTGGGGGAAGTGACTGAAAGCAGGGTGAGAGCTGAGCAAGTGGCACTGTTCCCTCTCAGACCCCTCCCCCACACACTGCACCACAATGCAGTGAAGTGCGTCACCCCACCCTGGTGAATACCTAAGGCTCCACCCCTTACAATGCGGAAATATGGCCCAAGTGAAAGAACAGATAAAAACTCCAGAAAAAGAACTAAGTGACAAGGAGATAGTCAACCTATCAGATGCAGAGTCCAAAACACTGGTAATCAGGATGCTCACAGAAATGATTAAGTATGCTTGCAAAATAGAGGAATAAGTAAAGGCTATGCAAAGTGGAATAAAGAAAAATACACAGGGAACCAGTGAAGGGAACGAAACTGGGACTCAAATCAACAATTTGGAACAGAAGGAAAAAATAAACATTCAACCAGAACAGAATAAATAAATAAGAATTCAAAAAAATGAGGAGAGGCTTAGGAACCTCTGGGACAACTTTAAACGTTCCGACATCCAAATCATAGGGGTACCAGAAGGAGAAGAGGAAGAGCAAGAAATTGAAAACTTATTTGAAAAAGTAATGAAAGAAAACTTCCTCAATCTGGCAAAGGAAATAGACATACAAGTCCAAGAAGCTCAGAGAGTCCAAAGAGGAACACACCAAGACACGTGATAATTAAACTGCCAAATATTAAAGATAAGGAGAGAATCTTAAAAGCAGCAAGAGAAAAGTGTTACCTACAAAGGAGTTCCCATAAGAATTCCAGCTGATTCCTCAGAAGAAACCTTACAGGCAAAAAGGAATGGAAAGAAGTATTCCAAGTCATGAAAGGCAAGGACCTACATCCAAGATTACTCTATCTAGCAAAGCTATCTTTTAGAATGGAAGAGCAGATAAAGTGCTTCCCAGATAAGGTCAAGTTAAAGGAATTCATACTCACCAAGCCCTTAT